CTCCCCAAACCCCAAGGGAGCCGCCACCTTCTCTCCTGCTGCCAAAACATGACTGACAAGCTGGGCCTAAGGTTACTGTGTATAAAAATTTTATGCTCTTCACGTTTAATGCGATTCTGCATGACTTCCGTCCCGTGTGTCTTGTCTGCCCAGATACGTTAGCAAGTTAAATAACACCGTTATAATGAAAGATTAATAGCAGAAGAGAAGGGAGGGATTAAGAGGGATCGGCAAGTGGAAAGAGGAGGATGCTGCCAAGATGAGAGCTGATGTGAATAGCAGGCAGCTCGAAAAAGATGATGGAGAAAGCCCAGGAAATATGGTGGTCCTGAAAGGGCTGCTCTCAGGCCCAGAGTCCAGACCCTGGGGCTGCGGGTGTCAGCTGCTCCTTTGGGTTGGCACAGCCAGCCACAAAATTCTCTCTTCTGTATTTATTTCTTCACTTTATGCTCCACTTCATTGCTAAGAAAAATGGCACTCAAAATGCATCTCATGGTCTTAAATAAATCGTTATGGGCAAAACAGCCTGATCTTGATGCAGGCAGACGGACAGCTCCCCTGCTTGCTTGGGAGTCCAGAAGACAACCCAACCTCCCATTTAACTTGGGGAAGGAAGGCTGAAAACTGCCAGATGAGCCAACCAGACTTCTGGGAGACGCAGTAGCTTGCAAGGAATGGGCTACTGCAGATAAATCGAGAGCCTTGCAGGTCTGAGTCTGGTTGAATAGAGGCTTTTCCTGGCAGTGGCCGCCTGCACCAACTGCATCAAGTCTCCACGGCTGCTGTTCTTGGGCCCAGGTGGCCTCCGATGTGCTAAGGTGTCCTTGAATTCTTGGCATTCCATCCTGCTTCCAGATTGAAGCTGGCAGAAGTACCCCTGCTGCTAATGCCCCTGATTACCAGGACCCAAAGTTCATCTGAACAGCTGCTTGGCAGGACTGCGCCTCCTAAGCCAGCCTGACCACTGGTAGACAACGGGGGTGCTGTGCCAGGCGCTGGCAAAATTGTGCCGTCCTGGCATTCCTGCGATTCTCCGCGAGAGCTGAAGAGCCATGATGCTAAGAAGCGAGAAAGACGAGCATTAGAACTGGGAAGCAGTTGTGAGTTTTGCCTGTGGCAACAATCCCTTGCCCTAGAAGTGTTTGAATTATTAAAATAAATTTGCTTTGGTGCAGTTGAAACAGGCGTAATTTGCTTTCTTCTGCTCTAGGGAAAGAAAGCAAATTGTCACTCTCCGGCTGGGCTAATAGCACCTGGGTTGTCATCAGGGCGTGTGCGTCAAACCCGTTTTGTACGGGGTTCACCAGCAATTGCCCCAAGTTAACAATGAAGTGAATGTGTGAGGGGCAACCCAAACCAATGCACAGTCCAATGAAACCTGGGGGAACCAAGTGGTGGAGGAGGGAATCGAAAGAGCTGAATGCTGGTTTGCTTTGGGCAAAATGCTTATGGTGCCAAAATGCTTCTGCTTCATTTGTGGTATTTTCTGGGGGCGGGGGGAGAGGGACAGGTGGAAGGAAGACACATTAAGAATCCTCTTCTCATAATCTTCCTGTTTTCTCTCTGCTGCTGTTTCTCTTTCTCTTTCCATTCAGGTGGGAAAGACAGGATGGTCCATGACTTGCAGATGGCCTCTGCGACTGTCCTTATTGCCAGGTAAATGGATCCCAGGTAAGAATTACACCCTTGGACCTAGAGAGAGTCAGACTGCCTCCACCCACCCAAGCCGACCCTTGCATTAAAATGGATGTCTGGAGTCATCCTCATTGGCTTCTCCCTTGAAGATGCTAGGCTCATGGTGCAAGGAGGGGTGGGGGGGGGCTTGCCGCGTGGTGGCCCCCGTAGGGCCTTCACCACTGAGAAGTTCATGTGCCTCCATCGTGATTCCTTGTTGCTCTTTGTCTAATTTTATAAAACACCAGTTTGAGAACGGGGTGCTGCCATGTCAGAGCTTGAATGTCCTGGGAGATGCTTAAAGGCAGGGCCGGCGCTCCTGCAGCCGAGCCACGGTTCCCCCAGATGCCCTGTGTGCGGCATCCCCAGAAGACTCTTCTGCCCCACTCCTGCCACCACTGCCGCTGCTGCCGCCGTCCCGAAGCACTCAAAGCACCGTTTCTCTGCAGGAAAACAGCCAGGCCCAAATGCCGGGTTTTTCGGGGGGCTTTTTCTGTGCCAGGCACTGTGGGGAGACAGTGGTGGTCCCGGGAGGCACCCGTGGTCCAGGCAGCCCCCCTTTTGTGCAATGGCAGGCTCTGGGCAAGGACATTTGGTCCTGGCCAAGCCCTGCCAGCCGCCTTTGGAGACCACCAAGGCGAGAGACCATCCCCTTGTCCTCTGGATTGCTCTGATGGCTTGGGGTGAGCAGGAGGGTGGGGCCTGATCTGGGAGCCCCACTGGGAGCCCTTCCCTGTGGCAATTGCTGCAGCAGGAAAGGGGGGTTCTCAGGCTTCCTAGGGCACCCCAATTGTGTTGCTGGACAGCGAGACAGCCCCCCCAAACCCCCACTGGCTCTGTTCCCTCACTCTGGCGATTGCAGCCATCTGGGGGCTCTCCTTGCACCCAGCAGTAGCAATTATGGGTTGTCCTCCTGGAAGGGTGGGGGGGAGATACGTCATTTGTTGTTCTTCCTGCTCCAGTCTCCTTCATAGGAGGGCTGGCCCTGAAGCCAGTTCAGAAATCTCAGCTCAGATAAAGGGAAAGAATCCAGCAGGGTATTACCCTCTAGGAAGATGGGAGTGGGTGTCCTGTTGGCTTTAAAATCAGGGAGGCTGGGCTGCTGCAGCGTGGAGAAACACAAGACTGACAATGTTGAGAAGTGCAGTGTGGCAGAGAGTTTACGGGATGGGTGAGGGACTCACAATTAGACTCACCATGATTGTGGCAAGGGGATTTCACCAGCTTTCTGGTGAAAGCTTTAGGATATATTAACAGAAGCTAAAAATGTGAGCTGGAAAATTGTCTTCTCCCCAGTTAATCCACAGTCATTTTCACGGTACTCTTCAGAGTCTTTGCTCCTGGAGATGCTGGCGGCTCCTACGTCAGAGACGGACTTTTTTAATTGCAGCATTTGTGGAGCTGTGTAGGAGCTATCCAAGGTCCTGAACTCCATCCCCCGGGATAGGCTTGTCACCATGGACAGCCAGCCCCTATAAAGTTCTGAATGAAAGCTGCAATGGGTAAGGAGCCCCGCTGACTTAAGAGTTCCCAAGTCCCTCCCTGGCTGCTGAGGCGAGCTGTGGATTGTCTGATTCCACGAAGTCACGAGAAACAAGGTGCTCTGGCATTTAGGCACAAGGCAGGCATCTCACAGGTGGAATCCTATAGAATTCCCTTCCTATTGACATGACTTTGATGGTCTTTTCAGCATCAGGGCAGCCCATTTTATTTTTGTAAAAGGATACTCGAGTATATTTAAACAGCTAATGGTTAAAAAAGTCTTGTCTCTCACTGAAACTCCAGCCAGAATACCTAATAGTCAGCAGTGATGGGAACTGTAGTTCAAAAAATCTGATGGGCAGAAGTAGGGGAAGACCAGAAGCTGGGTGCAAGTTCTGCCAATTGCTAATGCGTTAATTAGATGTATACCAAGCTTTATTCCAGCAAACTCAAGGCAGCTTCCATCATTCTCCTCCTCCTCGCGCCCACAACAACAACCCTGTGAGGTAGGCTGGGCTGAGAGTCAGTGAAGTCACCCAGTGGGCTCCATGGCTGAGCGGGGACCACTCCTCCCACTGGCCCTTCTGTTTTCCTAGACCAGCACTATTTTATGCTGCACTTTAGAGCGTGGAGACTCAGCGAGAGGCCCCCCGTGTCAGCTCCATGCCGCTGAGCCATCCGAAGCCGGACTGACCCTGCTCGCGCGTTGCCGTGCGTCCTGTTTTGTCAGAGCGAAAGGAGCTCGGCGTTGCGGGGAGAAGGGGCCGAGGGGGCCCATAGAAAAGCCCCCCACTAATCAAGGAAAGGCATCCCAGAGAGCTGGCAACCTTCGCGCACCGCGGGGACAGAGGCGCGGCGCCACGACATGAGTCCTCGCGTGGGGGCCGCATCCTGCCCTGAGCACTGGGTGCGTTACTAACCGACCTCCTCCTTTGTTTTCCCAGCGGCTCGGCTCGGCTCGGCTCGGCCTAGGAGAACGCACCGGGGCTGATCTGCGTGGGCAGCCCGTCCTGGGTCCTTCGGTCCGCCTCTCCCGGAGCATCCGTGGGAAGAGGAGCGCCTCGACCTGGGTACGTCTGACTCGCGAGGAAGGTCCCCCGCGCCGGCACACGCGCGCGCTCGCCCCCCTCCTCCTGCCCCCCGTGACTTCAGCCTGCCTTCTCCCACGGAAGCGACGCGCAGCGCATCAGCCCCCGTGGCGCGGTTTGCCCGCGGCAGAGCGCCATGCGGGACCTTCCTCGCGAGGAGGCGCACGTCCGAGCGCAGCCAATGGCCGCCTCCTGCAACGCCCCCCCAGCAGCCTTCTCGAGGCCCCGCCCCGCCCCTTGGCCCCGCCCCGCCTCGCATCCCCTCCTTCTTTGAAGGACTTCCCGAGCGGGCGCTGCGCCGCGTCCAGAGAGGCGGGCGAGGGCTGCGCGGCGTCTGGATCGCTGCGGCGGCGGCGGCGGCGGCGGCGGCGGCTGGTGTTGGCTCCTGCTGCGGAGAGTGGCGGCGTGCGCACGTCGGATTTCACCTTTCGGGGGAGGAGAGAGCCGCGCGGGGACGCGTAAGCGCAAACCAGCCAGCAGGGCTCCTGCCTTTCTTCGGCGATTCGGGAAGCCAGCGGCGCTCCTCTCCTCCCCTCTCGGAGTCCGCCGCCCGCAGCGAGGAGCGCCGTCGAAGGGGCGCCGGGCGCGCACGGAGGAAAGTTGGAGCCTCTTCCTTGCTGCTGTTGGGCTTGCTGGAGCCCCCCTTTCCCGGGGCTGCCTCTCGCTCGGTCTTCCTCAGGCGCCCCTACCCCGTCCCTTTCCCGTGGCCGCGTCTGCGGGAGGAGAGCGCGAAGCCGCGGCGAGGGAGCCGCGATGCGCCCGCCGCTCCTCGGCACGTCTTGACGCCCGCGGTTGCGCGGCTGCTCGGCGGCGGTGGCTGGCGAGGCCAGTCCAGTCCCGGCAGCGGCGAGGACCGGAGGCTGTGGCGCTCGGATGTCGCCCTCCGCCCCTTTCCCCCTGCGGATCGCCGGAGCCGGGCGCGCTCCTCTCCCCTCCCCGGAGACTCAGCGGCTGGAGGCGGCGGAGAGCTAAGCCGGCGGCGGAGGGATGCTGTGGAGCGGGCCCCCCAGGCAAAGCGTCGCCCCCCAGGAGATGTTTCTGGTGCTCGCCTTTTGCTTGGCTTCGCGGCGGACCCTGGCGGCGCCCAACCCGACTGCCGAGGAGATCTCGCTGGGAGTTGTAAGTTGCGCGCCCGCGTCCCGCTGATCGTGCTTTAAATGATGCTCCGCACCCAGCGCCGGGAGGGGAAGGGGCGTGCGGGAGGGGGGGGCGTGCTAAGCCTCAGCGCCTTTGCTTCCTCTCGGTTAATCCGCTAGTCGCGGGGGGGGGGGGGAGAGGGAGCCCGAGCGGGCTCTTTCTCCTTGTCCATGGCCGCAGGGTTTGAACTTGAAGACTTTTGCTTTCCTTCCTGAGCTGGGGGAGGCCGCAGAGGAGACCCCCCCCCCGGCCGCCCCCTGCTCTTTAACTTCTCTTGGATGCGCGGCCCAAGATTCTTGGCCTCTCCGCTTTCGCGGAGCCGCGGGCGCACAATCAAGGAAGGGCTTCTCTTTTCTGGGGGCGTGAGTCTACGTCCGTGTGTGTGTGTGTGCGCGCCCGTGTGTGCACCGGTGGGGGGGGGTGGCTTGCGAGGCTGGCGTGATTAGCTGAATTGGTAGCAGGTGGAAAGGGAGAGAGACCGTGTGAGTGTTGGAAACAGGTCGCTGCTTTGTTTATTTGTGTCATTGTGCTTCTCATGACGTGACTTCCAAGGACCCTTGCAGCGAGACGGGTTTTACTCGGAAGTAAACCGCAGCGCCGGCTCTTTTCTTTGCCGTTTTTGCGTGAGGGATTTTGGCGTCTTTAAGAGAGGAGAGAGGGAGAAATAAGCCGTGTGGTATTGCGGGAGGTCTTGCTGCACGTGTTTACTCGGGAGTAACTCCCCACGTACGCACACGGTGTTTTCACTTACTCATAATAAGAGGGCAGCAAGTGGGAGCAATCCTCTACTCAGTTACCTGCGAGTAAGCTTCAAAGAAGTGGGACACGTGCACATACTTCTGAGTAGGCACGGAGAGGTTTGTGCTCGCAGGCACCTACTCGGGGCCACGGGGGGGGGGGGTGCTGGGCTTGGGAGCAATGCTCACCCCCTGGGGAACGGCAACTTTTAAGCCCCCGGGTCGAGAACAATCTATCCTCTCCCTGCCCTCTGCATCTGGAAGTGACCGAGCAGCCGTTTCGTTTAATGGCTTGGTATCTTGTGAATACACAAAGAAGGATGCGTACCACGTTAATACTGACTGTAGAATTCACTGGTTCGGCGCCTATTCGTGGGTATTTGTTCTCCTTTGTTGTGCAGGCAGGCAAAGATGGTTCTGCTTCCTTGTATAAAGCAGATGTCGATAATCTCCCCATGCCCCCCCCCCCAAAAAGATGTGCCAATAAGGAAATCCTTCTGCGGAATAGAAATTCACTCCGGGTAGACTTAAGCCCGCGCAAGATGACTGAGCGGCTCAGTCGAAACTGGTGGCGTTAGGGCCCCACACGAGCAGAGCTTCCTGCGCATTCCGCTCCCTCCATCTTGGGGCATTTCTTGGAAGCCCGTTCCTGGGGTCCGTGTGCTTGCGGCAGAGCGATGGGAGCCGGTCCTTTGTTGGTGGTGGGTTGCTGGCATGGGCACTTAGCCAGGAAGGGCCCGTGATCCCTGCCTGGGAATGGTCGTCTGTGTGCTCGGGAGCCACTCTGCTGCCCGCACGCATTTTGGGCGAAGGACTCTGCTGCCCACAGGCTCTGCGTTCCCCTCCACGGATGAGAAGCTTCGGGAAAAGGCTCTCTTCCACGCAGCTTGAAGGACCTCGTGCTTACGGAACGTGCTGCTTCTTTGGAAAGCCCCCCCGCCCCCCGGTCCCAGCTGTGGACGGGCAACAGCCCAAGTGAAAGAGGCTTTTCTAAGTAAGGGGTAGCTCACACAACTTTCCCGAATGGGCTTGATTTTCCCTGCAAGGGAAACGGAGTAGAAACACGTCCCAGGATTTGTGGGTTCTGTCTTGCAGCCACTTTGCCGAAGGTCTACATAAGCGAAGAGCCAGTGTGGGGACGTGGATGAGAGTGCTGGGCTTGGGACTTGGGTGACCTGGATTCCTGCCCCACTCAGCCATGGTGACTTTGGGCCAACCTCCCTCACAGGGTTGTTGTGCAATTAAGATTGAGAGCAGGGGGAGGAGAATGATGTTCACCACCTGAGTTCTCTGAAAACGAAAAAGGTGGACTATAAATCCAGTAAGCAGGCTTGGATAAGCAATCGTGGGGGACCATTGTTCACTGCTTTGAGTTCCACGATGGAAAAATTATTTGCACATTTGCAATTAATTGCAATTGGGCTGGTCCTGGGATCTGGATGTGGGCAATCATGTAGGGAGCCAGGAACCCCTCTTGCCCTGCAAGTCAGTCATCTGTGCTGCATTGGGGCGAAGAGCTGAACTCCTCCGTTAGGATCCTTGGCGTGCCAGGGAACAAAATATCCGAGAAAAAGGAAGCCATGAAGCATCTGAGACGGCTCCAGATCGATGTGATATTTTGATTTGAGTGTGGGAGGAGGGAAGTCACACGGCATCTGAGGGATGGGTTCCGTCAGCTTGATATTTTGAGATGGGTGGATGCCATCTAATGAGCTGAGGCTGGACCGTTGACTTACAGATCACAACAATCCTCTCTCTGTTTAATAAGACATGTTTCTGCCAGTTGCCCAGATCACGTATGTTGCAAAACACCAAGTCCCCGGCTGGTCTGTTCTCACATGGCGAAGTTCAATTCTCGGGCAAAATCCACACATCAGAGAAATGGAGTCGTAGGACAATGGTCAAGCATATGGTCAGGGTTTAGGTCTCGTGCCCAATTCTGTGGATCTCTCTCTTAACAAGTTTTGAGGTGGCAGGTTGTGAAAGACCCCTGCTGCTGAAGTACTGCTGCACATTGAGAATAGGTGATAGGCAGGCTAAGATGGATTTTATTCTTGTTTTACTCGTTATAGGACAGACTCATTTGCTCATTCCAGGAAAACCTCTTTTCAAGGCTTACCTGGAGTTGCTGAGGGCTGACCCTAGGAACTTCTATATGCAAAGCAGATGTTCTACCACTAAATTAGGGCCCTTGGCTACATGTTCCAATAGTTTGTATAAGCTTGGGGCAAGGAGCACTACATCCCATTGTTCAAAGAACCGCTTTGGGTGAGATGATGAAGTTGTTTGGTTGAGTGGATTCTACTTGGTTAATGTTAGGAAGGGGTGAGGACCATTTCTACAAATGTACAAGTTTTCTGCTGGGAATGTTTGCATGAAGATCCATGATAGTTAAAGTTAAGCCTCGTCTCCTGTAAGGAATACTCATGGCTTGTTGTTGGACTGTGAACTGCGGGTTGTTCACCATGGTTTCTAAGCTCAGCTGGGTTCAGACAAGAAAATAACCCACACTTTAACAGCAGCCCTTGGTCCAGCCCTTGAGTAGGTTGTCTGAATCCAGCCAAAATAGTGGGCCACTCGGCTGCACAGGCTCAAGTGAGGGCTCAGGGCATGGTTTCGGGAAATGGAATCTGTCTTGCAGCAGCGAAGCAGCTCTGTGCCTGGCCGGCCACTGGATAGGAGGCTGCCCAGGGACCCCAGTGAATTCCACGAAGGAAGAAGAATGGGATAGAAATCCAGTTAACAAATAAGTTCCAAGAGTGAGTTGGGAAGGGAAAGCGTCTGGTTTGCAGTTTGCCACCGTGGCAGTTATGCAAGGTGGCCTTCAGCGATGGTCAAAGAAACCGGTGGCGCATTTTACAGCAAGACGTTAAGGAACACTCAAACGATGCAAGTGGAACCCTTTGATGACTCAGGTGTCTTGTCCGTGTCTTTTTCTTTTTTCTGGGTCCCTATTTAGTCATGCTTGGAGGAGACCCACTGGAAAAGCTCTGGTTCGTTGTGTCTCAGCGTCCCGAGATGTTCCGTAGGGGACAGGATAGAAAGGTTTTTAATAAATAACTAACTTGGGGACATTGGTCACATTAGGTCTGCTAAGCCCAAGGGTCTCTGAAGTGTTATGGGGTGAGATCCTGTTCAGGTTTTGACAGAAATAAATCACACAACTTCTTGCAAGGCTGAAGAGGATGCCAGGAAATGTAGGGCTTATGTCTGTCGAATTTCTGTTTGGTTCTCTTAAAGCAGTTGTAATTCAAAAACCAGCCAAATGAAAAGGTAAAAGCTCTAACCAAATAGACTAAAAACCCTCCGTATCCAAAGGTGCGAAAATAAAGACATGTTGTGGGCACATTTAAAAGTAGATGGTGAGGGAGCCCAAGTATAAGCTGAGGGAGGAAGCTCCATAAATGAGGGGCCGTCACAGGAAAGGCCCTGTCCTGGTCACCAGCTGGTCCATGAGAAGAGACGGGGAAGCAACCAGGTTGCAAAGATGAAAAAGAGGACCTTTGCTAGGGAGTGGAACCTTACCTGGTGGTTAATGCTGGGAGTTGTAGTCCAGCATTTCTGGGGGGCACCGGGCTGAGGAAGGCTGAGGCAGAACATCATTGTCAGAGCAAGAAAGCCTAGCTTCAGCTTGAGTCAGTCAGCATCGCCTGGTCTCGCCTGCCTTGCAGGGCTACTGTGAGCATAGTGTGAAACAGCCCTGTAGGAAGATATTTCAAAGGACCGCCATCGCTGCCACCCCCCCCCCCACTTCCCAGTGGTCAGCAAGCCTAATTATAGTTGAGCTCTGACTCGGAGGGAGAAAGAAGACTTTAGAAAACAGGGAATGGTCAATAAATGTAAATAAATATACCCGCTGAAATGCGGCTGCATGGCTAATTAGACCATCTGGATTAGTTCAGCCACATTCCAGGCCATCATCCACATCATTACAGTGGCTGCTTTGGAAGCTGGGAGTGGGATTCTCAAAAGTCTGTGTTGAAGCAGGTCTTTCCAGCAGTCCTTCCCCCTTAATGCTAGCTGAGGGGAGTCCTGTTAGCTTTGCGACCACCTGGAAATTATAGTTCAGAGAGAATCTGGTGCGAGTGCTTCAGATGAGTCTCAGCCTCCTCATATTAATTAATTCATTAATCATATCTTTTTTTACTTTGGAAGGTTTCTATGTGCCCTCAGATGGGCTTATTTTGTAAGATGATGTGAAAACAGTATCAGTTATAAACTCAGTTTGAGAAAAAGGAGCTGGGT